GTGCATTTTGTGTGTCCTTGTTATTTATCAGCCTGTGAGGTACATGCTGTGCCTCTGTGTTTTTACCCATAGGCTCACACTGTTGTGTCTTGCAGTTTGCTCTCAGCCTGTTCCCTCCTGTTGCTCTCCCATTTAAGTTTATATTTGATGCATCACCTTTTGCAATTTTTTTAATAATTTTTCTTAGGTGTGCATACTGCTGAGAAAGTACACACTACCCACAGTATCACATGCACACACATACACACACAAAAATATACTCAGTCAATATGGTAATAGCCCACATATCCAAATTATGGCCAAACAATTGATACAGGAACAGATCTTTCTAATATCCATAAATCAGTTTGCTGCAGTCTGCAAACTCATTGCAACCTAATAAGAAGTGCAGCAGTGAAACAATTCCTTCAAACCAATTGAAGATCTAGAAGTGGTAAATGTCATTGGCAATAATAAGCGGTTTTGAAAAGAAATGAAGTGTGCAGCACTGCCAGAGTATTGCAGACTGGTATCTTCCCAGTTACTATAAAAATGATTCAAAGATCTTATAATTCAAAGAGGCTATTGCTACAGTACATATCACCGCTGTTTACTTCTGAAACATATTAATACAAGTTGCTTTCTCTTCCACCACCCCATTGATGTAGATATTATGTATATGGCATGGAGTACCAACATTTAGTAGGTTTTAATTTTGACAGATTGTAATAACTGGATTGCTAGTGAATCAAGCTGCCTGAACTATCCTATTCAATCCTACTGCTCTTATATAAAGTTATGATGACACAGCCTGATACATTGCATGATATATTAACAAGAAGGTTAGCATCATTCAATTTGAGTGATGTGGGCCTCTATAAGAATTCTCACCGAGTTATTGCATGTGCATTGATTATATTTTCATCCATCACTTGTCTAAATTTATAGAATGGATGGATGTACACAGTACCATAGACAATTTAAGAGGTAAATGAAGCTCATTTCAAGTCAACTGAGATCAATCAAATTGACCTTGATCACAATTGTCTCCTGGTTTGTCACTGTTTTTGATGCCAGAGCCAACCTGAACATCACAAACATGCTAAAAACAAAGTTTGGCCCCATCCATCTTTCATCAGTCTTTTAAATCCAGTTTGCTAGGAGCTGGCCTTGTGTTTTAGGTACATTGTCTGGTCAAGGTCTGAAGTCTGACATACTGAGCAAGAAGCAATTACAGGAACAAAATCTCTCCAGGTTCACAGCAGCAGCAAGGTGCTCTTTCGTTTTCACAACCCAAAGTTCTAGAGGCAGATTTATCACTGGCAGCTTCTGGGCCTTTGTGAGGCTCTCCCTGGAATGGAGTGTCAGGATATTGTTTTGAAACCCAGGGTGTGTTGAGAGCCAGACAGAGTGTAAAATGGAGCTGAAATCCTGGATCTTTCTAAATGTCAGAACTCACTCTTATGATCCATTCTTATGAAAATGGTGCAGGAAAAGTTGGAGTGGTGTTGCCACTCTAGAAAACTAAAGAATTAGGGTTTGCTGGCGCAGAAGTTGCCTTTTTGTGCCTGAAGTGCCAAAACACTTCTGGAGGATGAGGCACATGTCGTTGTTAATGGCTGGGCATGTGATGTAGGCAGTACTTGCGTGTTACCATGTCCAAAGCTTGCATACAGATTGCACTTCCTACTTGAATTGTACTTTCAGATTAGCCCTCTTACTGCTGCACAGTACAGTAGGTCTAGATGTACTATTAATAAGCTCTCTGGTATTACCAGAACAGGAGCGATGATTCAGTGTGATTGTTCCCATCTGGTCGTGGCTGTTTATTTACATTCCTCGGTAATTTTACAACAGTGTTCCACCCACTATTTGCTGGCCTATAACCAATATTGTGATGATGATGATAATAATAATATGGATTTTGTTGAACTCAGCATTCAGTGTGTAGTGGTGTTACAAATGATTTGGTTATCCTGTGACAAAATTCAACACCCATCATCCAACATTGTGATATGGGAAAATTAAGGGACTTCTATCCAAACCCAAGTTGTTTTTGAATTAAACTAAATTGACAGCGACAGGCTTATGTTCTGACAAACTCTCACAGAAAGTGACATTTTTATTAGTCTCCAGTTCATTTATTTCATATAGCCTAATTACTGAGAAATATGGCCCGAGTCTTCCAATTCCTGGACAGATTGATTCTCCTTTATCACTATTTCATTCACCTTTCTATCCAAATTTTCCTCCATTTATAATTTTGCTTGTTTCCCTTTTTCCCATTCTCTCTCCACCTCTTCCTCAGTGTGTTCTGCTTTCCCCAAATAGTTTCTGTCAAACCAACCCATTTCCATTTGTTTAATCATTTTCATCAAGCCCCGTAATGTCACATATGCCAATTTATGATTTCAGTTCGTCATAGAAGAACCCAGCTGTATATACAAGTACCAGAAAAGATCAGAGCTCTTCAAAATCTTTAAACTCTTTAGTGGTGGCCATCTATCAGCCTGACAGATCTCAACTGCAGCACAAATACAGTCACATAGGCTTTATGCTTATACACACATTTATGTTCTTTTGTATGTGGTTCAATAATAAATACAAGGCAGTCAGCTAACACAAACTGGAAAAAGAAGCATTTATGAGTGTGTCTGCTGTTATGCCTAAACACAAACACAGATTTCTGAGTCCATTAAGACCTTCCTTTGACACTGAGCAGAGGCCATGGAACTAAATGGCTGCTTCTGCTGTAAGTGGTTTACATCAGAGCTTTGTGGGAGTCGCCCTACCGAGGTTGCAGCTGTGCTTTACACTTCTGACCGCAATTATAAACACACAGTTGACATTAAGGTCAATTACAGAGGAGAAGATACTACAGTGGTCCTAAGGTGCAAAACACAGCATGTCAAAATGAACTTTTCACAAAACATGACATTTTAGAGAACTGACATTTCAGAAAATCCTACATTTTAAAAAACAGTTTCACAAAACATGATTTTCGGGGTGGGAGGGATAACATGGCATTTCACAAAAAAACTAAGAAAAAGAAAATGTTTCACAAAACACAACAACCTACTTCAATCAAGACCAGCCAGCATTGTACACAATTGAACCCTCACCTCAGATATTGATGACCATTTTTAAAATGAGTATGAAAAGATGGAATAAGCTATTGGCATTTTGCACACCATATCAATGGATGACAATAATGTCATTCTTAATAATATCAGTGTATTAAAATGTTTGAACCCTGATAACAGCTTGAAAGACACAAGACTGACAAGAAGGAGCAGCTCATTCTGAATCACTGAACCCCATATGCAAATCAAATCAAATGTATTTATATAGCACTTTAAAAACAACATTCAGGTGACCAAAGTACTTTACACGACAGAATAAAATCACAATGAATAACTAAAATAGAATAAATAAGATCAATGCAAAAAATAAAACAGCCCAATAACACAGACACACAGATGATATACATTCAGTAAATTAAAAGGAATGCATCAGGCCCTACTGTGTATTAAAAGCCAAGGCAAATAAATATGTTTTAAGCAATGATTTAAAAGTAGTCAGGTCAGTAGCTGATTTAACATTTAAAGGTAGAATATTCCACACTTTAGGGGTTGCAGCAGTAAAAGCACAATCACCCCAGCGTTTATATCTGGCCATAGGAACCTCTAAAAGAAACTGGCCTGAAGATCTGAGGGACCTTGTAGGTTTGTGCCAATGCACTAATTCAGTGAGGTAGGATGGAGCCAAACCATTAAGAGCCTTAAAAACAAAAATCAATAACTTAAAATCAATTTCAAAACAGACTGTAAGCCAGTGGAGAGAAGCCAGTACCGGAGTACTTTTAACCATTAAGAGCCTTAAAAACAAAAATCAATAACTTAAAATCAATTTCAAAACAGACTGTAAGCCAGTGGAGAGAAGCCAGTACCGGAGTACTTTTCTAGTACTTGTCAAAAGACAAGCAGCAGCATTTTGAACCATTTGGAAATGAGTGAGGGAGGACTGCTTAACAACTAGGTATAGAGCATTGCAATAATCAAGTTGAGAAGTGATAAAAGCATGGATTGCAATCCCAAAATCATTAAAAGAAAGGAATGACTTGACCTTGCTTAACAACCTGAGGTGGAAGAAGCTAGATTTCACAACTGAGTTGATTTGCTTGTCAAATCAAATCAAACATCACCCCTAGGCTTTTTACAGTCTACTGATATGCAACACACCATAGATTAATTAGGCACACTTATCTTTTATCCTCTCAAACAAAGTTTAAAATTGGCCACGTAGCATCAACATTCATGGCCAGCACATTGTTTAGGGGTGGTTGATCTTTACCTGGGTTTTGTCCAGTCACAAGCAAAATTTTGACTTAGACCTTTTGCAGGGTAGGCCTTTGACTTGTCCTAGCACCTTAATTAATGATTCAAACCCTGGAACTAAGCTAATTGGAATGCAATCATTGGCATTGTTATTGATTCCATCTGTGAGCTCTGTCCTTTTAATGCCAGGACTGACATTGACTACATTTGTTTGGCCTTTGTGTTGATTGTACGTTAAGTGTAATCCTCTGCTAGTGAATAATCTACATAGGCTTGTCATTGTTGTCAAATGTGGACAGTTGAAATATCAGCAGGTTTATTTGACGTGATTGTGGAGATTGTAATTGTAGAGCTACATTGTAGTGCAATTTTTTTTTTCCCAATGGTAAAACCTTTAAGCTTCTTTTTGAAAGCTAAACAAGTCACTAACATCCAATTAGTTAAATCTAAATAAAGTTTTTGTGGTGTTTTTCATGTGCACTGCTCATGTAGGTGGTAGATAGCATGTAAATAACATTTACCTTGGAAAGTGAAAGACATAATATAGACAGCAGTAGGTTTATATATAGGTTTAGGGGTAGACTCGCTCTATTTTGATTATTCATAAACTCTTCTGCATGCATTAATTTCTTCATTTGTGAAAACTGCTGTTTAAATAAACTTACTTACTCCATCCACAGGTCGCAAGTTTCTCATCGCCAATGCAAGAGTGGAGAACTGTGCCATCATCTTCTGCAATGATGGCTTCTGCCACATGTGTGGTTACTCGCGTGCTGAGATCATGCAGAAGCCTTGCACATGTAACTTCCTGTACGGACCTGACACCAAGCGACTGGCTATCGCCCAGATGGCACAGGCCCTGCTGGGGTCAGAAGAGAGGAAAGTGGAGATCAACCTTTATCACAAAGATGGTAGGACAAAAAAAACTGTGTGTTAGAATGACTTGAGAGGTGGTTGTGTGGATGGTACAGTAGGAGAGCATGTTGACCTGTACAGGAGATGATCCTTCTGGTGTGTAAAGATGGCACATCAAAATGTGTAAATAGATTGTATCAAAATAGAGGTGTGTAGTTTGCATATGGTAGTTGGGTTCTTTTAGAAAGCTGAAGAGGTTGGAAAGGTATATGCTATTAGTTTCTGTGTTATGTTAGTTAGTTCTTATATTGGGCTGCTCCCAGGAACTGTTTGAGTAATGTTGACAGACCACCTGGCCCCTGTCATCTCATGTTTATGTGTGTGACCTGAAGACTGTTTACTTAAGTCCATGTTGTATCCTGTGTCTCTTGCAACTTGTTAGTTCTTGTTCTGATGAGAATGAAAATGCAGTATGGCACATTTGGTTTGTTTTCAGACCAGAAAAAATATAACCTATAACTGAAATTAGAATGCATTTAACTACCTTCATAAATCAAACTTGGCAAGTTTGAGTAGATCAAACTCTTTTGTACTAAAAGGGAAAGTAAATAGAAGTAGCTCTTGTAGAATTTTCTCCAATGGCAAGAGAGTATTTATGTTTCCCCATGTGCCAAGTGGACCAGGACACTGCAATGATACACAGCTTTAATAGTGATAAGAGCTGCCACCGTAATAAAGTCTGCAACACCTTGGGCTATGGCCAAAGCATCTGCTGGATATTTTCCACCTGTAGACAGACACCAGAGCAGCAGAAGGAGGGAATGAGGGAGAGAAAGAGAAGAAAGGAGGTGGAATGGGCCTGAAACAAGCTGAGAGGGGAAAAAAGAGAGGGCAAGGTGACTAAGAGGCTGGAAAACAGCAAGCCCTAAAAAGCAAGAAAGATGGGAGAACCAAAGTGAGAGACTGAGAGAGAGATAGAAGCTATGAATATAAGAAAGTGAGGTTCTCATGTGATCTGAAAGTGCTGGTGGTGAGAGGACAAAAGGACAAGAGAATGGGAGAAATGCAGAGACATGGCGCCAGATGTCTCATCTCTCTGATACTTCTGAGGAGCACTTGGCCAGTTCAGCCCTGCACATTTCACTTTCCACTGTTTATACCAAGAGGATGTGGACACACACACACACACACACACACACACACACACACACACACACACACACACACACACACACACACACACACACACACACACACACCAGTGATACAGAAGTAGTAAAAAGCTAGAACATTGTATATAGAATAACAGAGCTGTTGTCATCTTTGTCTCACTGGCTGTGTTAATGACAGTCCACCATGGTAACAACACACAGTTATAGAAGCAATGACTGTGCCAGTGAGAGCTGGTTTCTATAAAGTCTGCATACTTAGTGCTGTAGCTTCAGTATGCCCTCCCATTCAAGACAAAAGAAAAATTACCATATTGCATAAATATTAAAATGAAACGAGTGGACGTAATGAGGTCACTGAGGTTGAACCTGGCACACCAAAGCAAAACACATCACCAAATAATGTCTGATACATTTAACAAATATGAAAAGTGGCTTCTGGCCTTTTTTGATGTACAAAGTAATTGAGATTTTTTTTCAAGGAAGAATCTTCTTTAACTTCAGTAATACTGTACTTAATTTGGTAGTTCAGTTCAAGCCCTGTAGATTTCTGTTTCCTTTAGATCTTTACATGTATTCATCCATAGAGTCAGATGAGCATGCTTAGTATTTCTATCAGTTTCTATCTATACTGTACAACCTCACACTTTATAATCACAGGCCCAGGATCCGATGGGGGTCAAGTGTCTTTGTTTGAGAGCATTCCAAAAACAACAAACCTTACTCATTACTTTCTGTGTAATGTGTGTAGTGGATTCTGAGTTGGATTAGATTATTCCCAACTGCTACAGTAATAATACTGTTCAGCTCCAACATCATTGTGTAAGAAAATGACACAGGGCTCAATGGATTAATGCAAACTCAATCTGCTCTTGAGTAATAGAGATTGAGAAAATTATTATTCTTGATTAAAACAAAGCCAAAGGGACATTTTCACTATAGGTATTTTCAGGAAATTTTGCTGACACGTGAGCACAATGGAAAAAAATATATTTTTTAGTGGTGTCCAAGGATTTTATTAGACACTTAGGTGAGCAATATCACATGCTGAGGTGTGAAATAGGAAGTTATTGAACTGAAAAGATGACATGAAGCATGTGCTGTTCTGCCAAGCTGCCCTTATTCCAGGGCCATGTAACACAGAAAAGTTTGGGGCTATTATAACAGATCATGACTTTATTGACTAAAATGTTTCCTTGTGCCACCTACTGTCATTGTTTTTTAGACACCAAACCTTTGCTGCGTTTGTGCTGACCCAAAGCTTTTTGTCACTAGTAAAATCCTTATTGATTTATACTCCCTTAAAGATAATGAATGAATACAAAATTTTGCTCAGAAAGAGTG